GGGCAGAAATCCTTGCTGCAGTACAAGGAATTCAGATCGCCAACCAGCTTGGGGTGGAGCATCTCCTAGTTGAAGGGGACTCTCAGGTGGTAACAAGGTGGCTCCTAAACTTGGATACCACCATTTGGGGCTACAAAGATCTCATCAAAAAAAGTAAAGTGGTTAACCAGCAATATGAGAGTTGAGGTAAAACGGGTTAGTAGGTCTGCTAATTCTTTGGCTGATGCTTTAGCCAAACAGGGGGTTTCTAGGGAAGATCTTTGTTGTGCTTCTTTGTAAGTTGTTATTAATTTGGAAATCTGTACTTAACTAGCCCGGAGAGGTTGCAACTCGTGCCTTTCCTTAGGGACTTTGTACTATTGTCTATTGCTGATTAATAAAATTATTTCAATTATCAAAAAAAAAATAGCATAAACAAAAGTTTTACCATGATCACTAATGAAGGTAAAGTGTATCTCTTTTGCACTCGTGATCCTGAACTCCAAATTATCCTGTTACAAATAAATTGTAAAAGAAATTACAACATTTTTGTGCAGAAAAGACAAATAAAAGTGAAAACTGAAAAGATAATAACTATGCAATAAACTCCAATTGCAAGTGGGAAAATTTAACCACTGTAATGACAAAACATACTAAAAAAATAACACCAACAACAGCAATGAGACCAAAAAATAATAATAATGCAAGTAGACAATGGCATTAGCATAAGATCTAACAGAGTAGTGAAATGGAACAGAACATCACAAGGGCTCCACAAAAATGAATACTATCAGAGATTAAGCATTCAACCTAGAATTGCAATTAAAGGACATTAAATAAATGCCAGTGACCTCTTTCCAAAAGACTTCAGTGTCCACAGATGACACTGTGAAATATACATGATTCACTAGGCAAATAATCCAGTGTGTTAGAATGGATAGGAACCTATAGATTTTTGAGAAAAAAAGGCAAATCCTGTGGAGATGATAACAAGAAAGGTCAGAAGGTGTTTATGCTTTTGGCAGGCAACTCAGGAGGAATTTTTTGGATCATCACTTAGCACGTTTTTTGATATGGGAATTTTGTTCATAAGGCAAAGGTAACTTGCAAGTTCTTTTTGTATAGACCCACTGTACAGATCCTTGGTGTACATGGACATCTTGAACCAATTATTTGCAATTTTTATCAACAAAATAAAAATACTTCACTGTTCAAAAAAAATAAGGCTTAGGTATGTTTCACATACATGGCCCAACTATTTTTGGATTTTGCATGAACCAATCTGCTTGGCACCAAATTCCTAATTTTTAGGAGCACTGTTCTAAGGTAATTCCATTCCAAAGACAGAACTGACAGTTTATGTCTACAGCATGCCACCTTGACACAGTTCTGACTATTAAGGGACACCCTACCACCACCAGATTATATGAGAATAAGTTAAAATTGCAGGATTAATATAACTAAAATACTTCCAAACGCTGAAAAGAGGCATCTATTTGTAGGTCTGGCATCCCAAGCAGGTAAGCAAACCTTTTTTTCATTTTTTTATAGTCAGTAAGCAAGCTTATTTATTAAAAAACATATGTATTTCTTGTTAAATGTAATGATACAATATAATCAAACATAATATGCACATTCACAGCTAAATCCAAGTAATGTGGTAATGGTAAGGTCAACAACCGCTACTGAGCAGTGAAAAGGAATACATTTTTCAATTGGATGGACAATCAAGTTGTAAACCCCAGAAGCGTGAAACTAACAAAGGAACAAAGAATCAAAACCATTGGCCTTGCTTGCCGCCATATGCTGATTATGGAACCATAATGATGGCAAGAAATATCAAGATTGACTGATGTTAATGTACAGAAGAATCAAAATTCGTGAATTAAAACATGAAGGGACAGCTTGCCATGAATGCGTTGACACATTATCAAAATTAACAAAAAAATAAAGCATAAAAGGAACAAAGATGAAAAATTGAAAATGAGAAATAAAATAAATGCTTGAATAATAAGTTTTAACTTCCTGCCGCAGGAGAAGTGAGTTGGGAGTTACTGAAAAGAAAACATACCGATTTCCTCTAATGAAGAGCTCATGATCGCTTCTATCACATGAAGCAGACGCCGAAGAGTCGTAATCAGAGGTTTCGTTGCTTTCACGGGTAATTTGGGGATCAAAGAGGAAGTAATCGTATTTTTCAGTGGCATTTTCAACGGGCTTTCCGTCTAGAGCTTCTGCGATCAATCCGAACGGTTTGAACTCGCCCAGGACTGTTAGATGCCGAACACCAAGTGACATCTTGAAATTTTCCTTCCTCAGAATACAGTCGCGAGAAGCCACTTGTTCTTGTTGAGCAAAACGACGGAGAGAGAGAAATCAGAGACAGAGGCCTCTCTCTCTCCCGCCCTTTTTATGCAGTTTTGAGTGAGCAAAAAGGCGGGGAAACGTTAGTGCAAAACCCTAGTGACTACTGACTAGTGTTCTCCAGTCATCCAGTTTTAAGTTTTAACTGGGTCCACTGTAACGGATTAAAAATGAGATCGGATTAGCCGAACGCCTTACGCTGTTTTAGCAAGCTGTGGGAACAATCAAATGCATCCACGCTAGTTTACACGAGAAGAAGGATTCTCATGTGCGAATCCTTTTAACGGAGATCAGTCGATGACGGGAATGGTTTGAAATTTTCCATTTATCTTAGTGTAAAATACAAAAACCTCCAAGTTTTATTTTAACAAAAATGCCCCCTAAAGCTTTGAGAAATCCAACACACACCTCCCTTTCATCATCACTTATCCATGCGAAAAAATGTCAAGTTACGAAACTGCCCCTGACTAATGGTGAGGGCATGCGAAAAATTGTCATTTATCACCTTAAGCGAACATCTTTCGTCAATTCCTTTATTAAGGAGGAGATCAGCCACAATGATTTCCCTCTGGTGAGATATGGGTTCACATAATATTAATTTTTTGCACTAAGTTCTTAATCCTACACGAGATATAAACAAGATTCCAAGGATAACCCAATTTCTCAATTTGAATGTCAAAAATTATCATGTTATCACTTTCAATCTCGATCTCGTATAATCTCTTTGAAAACAAAGACTTAGACCATCATATAAAGCTAACAATTTTGCTTAAATAGAGGTGGACTCACCATAGTAATAGTGAAAAGCAAATATGAGAGAGTTACAAAAAGATTCTAAGTGAACCCCCATCACCTCCTTCATCGGGATTGTCGCGATGCAATTGCGTCCACTCACAAGGTCTAACATCTGCTCGTTGTTATCTATATCTATATATTAAAATGCAATGTGCCAAGTTGGTACTTTCTTGCTCTATGTTTATTTTGAAAATCACTTATCTCTTTCTTTTGTTTTTTCTCAAAGGCATTTATCTATTTTTTTTGTTTTTTAATTTTCTAAATTTAAAATTGAACAAAATAACTCATTTGACCAATCACCATTTAGATTTCTAACACTCCTCATTAAAACACCATTAACTCTCTCTCTCTCTCTCTCACACACACACACACACACATTAGCTCTTTTAATAATCTCTCATTAATTATGCCATTAACTATTTCCTTCAATATTTCATGCCTGTTAATTCTCTCTCATCTCCATTTCTCTCTCTCTCTCTCTMTATATATATATCCATTTCAAACTATACATATAATAGACATATTTGCATTCAATTATAATTATCAATAAAGATTAATTACATTGAAATCGAGATATTCAATGATATATTATTGCACTAAATAGTATATTTCAATTTAAAATTATAAATCATTTATATTCCATTTGAAAACAATAACTTTTAATTAACCATAAAAAAAATATTTTAGTAAGTTACTTAAATAACCATAACAAAAAAAATTATTAATGTAATAAAAAGAATTTAATTAATAACAAATAAGATAAATTAAAAGCAAATATCATCTCACAATATCAAACTAATACAAAATTATTAACAATTATTAGTTTTATAATTAAATTTTATTAATTTAAAACCAACTTAAGTTCCATTAAAAATATAAATTATATAGTTAATTAAATTTTATACAAAATTTAAGATCAATAAAAACTTAATATACTTAAATGAATTCAATTTTCACTAATTTAAAAAATAATAATAAAAATACCAGTTTTAAACATAGTTTAATCATATTAAAATCAATATAAATTTCATTTAAAAATAAGGAAAATTATAAAAACCTCATTCACTTTTCTAACAATCCTATGAAACTGCCCAATGTTCTGGCCTTAACAAAATCCCTCTATTGTTTTGAAAAAAAGTGCAAATACCTTCCTTTAGTCAGCATTCCAAATAAAAAAATGTTGATGTAATGTAATGCATTAATTTTACTTCACTTCAGCCTTTTTACATTTGTCCAAGGAGAATAAGGAGAATTATTCTTTGAAAGTTGTCTAGCAAAATGGATTAGAGGAGGGTAAAGTTGAAACTTTAAATTGTGTATGATAACACATTAACAATGATAAGGGTATTTTGATAACTTTATTGTCTTTGTTACCGTAGAGCCAAGGGAAAGGAAGTATTTGCACTTTTTTTTTCTCAAAACTATAGGGGAGGCCTTTGTTAGGGTCAAAACAGAAATGTGGTTTATAGACTTGTTATAAAAGGAACTTTTTTAAAATTTTGCCTAAAAATAATAATAAATCTATAAAAAATCTTTTCCAAAAAATTAATAAAAATTACGATTAAGATACAAAGAAAATAATACAAATTTGTTTAGAGAATAGAAAATTGGCTACTCTCACTAAAGTGCAACTTAAATTGTGATGGAATAAACTAGTGATAACAAAAAAAATAATAATAATACTTGAAATGAACTTAGATGGACACCATTTAATTGGAAATGAATAGAGCTCCATCTTCAAATCTCTAGACTCTAATACACTGTGGCTCGGGAACCCCACATGCTCCAAAATCCAAATGAAACTTTAATTAGTTGAACTAATCCTGAACTATTTAACAATTGTTGAAAATCTCTCAAGTTTAAAACCCTACTTAGACTTTCATAAATTTGAGATTCCATAATGTAGCGCCATTAAGATGGTCAGAATGGACAAAAAGTCCATTTTATCCATTTGATTGAAGCTCGATTTTTGTTGGACCGGATCAATTACACGTCCCCCAATTGCAAAAAAGGAGAGGTTATTTATTTGGCCAATGTCTCGCACTCTCGCCTGCTATCACCGTATCACGGCAAATCAGTCGATACAGCAACGTCCGTCGGACCAACAACATATCCCTCCCCTAACGATTCCATCCAGCACTCCTTTACAGCGTATTTGAATTCTTGAAGAAGGCCCCCCCTACGTGAAGGCTTTGTCGTAGAGGACTGCATGAAGGTTCTTTTTTTTTTGGGAGGGGGGGAGGGGTGGTAAGGACTGTATGAAGCTGGTGCCTCCAAGAACGACAAACCGGTATTTATACTCTTTCCAAAATGAGCCTTATGCACATTTGTTCAAGCAAAGCATTTGAAGTTTTGAACATGGCCCATTGCCTACTTTATCTGTGTTAAATGGAAGGTTTACCCTCTTTATAGTTTATCCCCTCATTGCGCGTTTCTGCATTCAGTCCATTATAGATATCGAGACTCGTGGGGAAATGAATAGCCAATGAACAATGATCAGATAAATGAAAGATGGGAAACAAATGGATGTACATGACAGAAATAAGGTGTCATGGACATGGTACACTACGAGAAACATCATTTTCACCAACACTTGGGATTAAGGAGCTTACTACATTTTTTTTGGTTCCAAAAATATGAYGTATAGTTGTATACTAAGGATCACACTAATTTCAACACGGTGTGAACTAAACTTCCCTCTTGTTTCATTACTAGGGATGACACTAATCCAGTAATCCTTGCCGGCGGCAGGGGTCAATGGTGCAGACGAGCAGGAGTCTTTTTTTCCGTTTCCTTTGTGCTGGAGCTTAAAGCAGCATTACAACTTATTACAATGGATTTAACGACTGAAAAAACTCATGAGCACAGGTAAGATCTCTTGTAATACCTGTATAATGTTTAATCAATTGCTCGGGGCCTCAACAAAAAAAAAAAAAAAAAAAAATCCAGCAACGTTTGGACCAGGATCGTGTTTGGTTTTAGGTCCAAATTCTGCACTCGTTGACTGTGTAATTCTCTTTATCATGTACACTAACAATGCTCCCTTAATAATGTGAACCGGAGGAATTTCCACCGTGCAATCAGATCAGATGCAACCAGATCAGGACCTGTCCATCGCACTAAGATTACTTGACCACAGCATCTAAACCATTGATTTATCATTGCTTGGAAAGCAGAAATACTATGGTTTATAGTCACAAATAAAATATGGATCTCATGATAATACGTCCAAAATCTTATACGCCCGAGTAACTCGGAGAACTTTGCAGAGAAGACACCAATGTGGTAACCGCCTTAAAACATCAAGCAAAAACTTACCAGGAAAACAAAACAATCAAATGACTGTGAATGGCAAAGTAAGTGGCATGCACTTTCATTTGTCCACTTCTTCAGGAATTTTAGCTTTCCCTAGATAAACCTGTTGCATCTCCTCCTTCCAGATCTGCAAAAACACTTGATTGCACTAGTTAACCTTTGTTTCCCTTTCATTCGTTTCTTAATTAACCAAAGTCCACCATCACAGCATGGAACATAAAAAAGTAGATAGGAAAACCACAACTGAGAACATACTGTATAACGGAACTCCACCCGGATATGAGGCACATTTGTTTTGTGAATATCATTACCATCTGGACCTCTCATGTAGTATGATTTCCCGATCCAATGCGACTAGAAAAAAGGTTTCAAAGGTTCAAATATATCAGTTATTGGCAAAGGAATTCCTCAAATCGAGAATCACAGTTTGACATGCATATCAACAATCATAGGTGGCACCATCTGAAAATTATTTATATGCTATGCCAATGTAATTTATAAAGCAATTTAAGTTGCCCCTAATCAAGAATCACAGTTTGACATGCATATCAACAAAACAGTCATCGAATTTCATGAACAATAGGAGTGACAGTTCCACATCCTCACTGATAATAGCACTGCGAATGAGTGGTTTAGTGCTGCATTGAAGAAAATATTCAAATTTTAGAAGATAACAAGTAGAAGACACGTTTCTGTAAATCTCTTTATGCATGCCCTTTCTACCCACATTGATGCTTATACAAGTTTGTAGTATCTCTCTCAAGTCTAATCAAGGAATTGTCCAACTTTTTTTTGATGGATAAGGAATTTCCCAACTTTCAATAGTAGGTGTTATGGTTGTCCAAGAAGGGAGGTGCTATTTAGGCCACCTTTTGGATTTGCTCATTAGATGTTCGTGTTCCACACAAAAAATCAACTAGACAGGGTCAGCTCTAATATATCCAATCATTTCTTTTTTTTTATAGTAAAATAAAAAAATATTAAAAGAAAAAAGAAGGCTACAAGAAAGGAGATAAGAAGTCACCCAATAAAGAAAAAATAAACCTTCACCCAACCAAATCCAACTCCAAACCTTCCACGACTCAAACCAAAAGAAACCCATCACAAAACACAACCRCCATACTAAAAGGACCAAAAACATAAAACATACAAGCAACCCCATACAAACACCAATTCAAGCAACCACAATCTAAACTTCAACCCAAAACACATTTGACAGACCACCAGGCCACAAACATCAACCTCGCTGAGCCCCCAAACAAACAACAAAAGCTCACAACGATGAAAACTGGACTCTAACTTGACACCACTCAAAAAAACTTAATTACTCAGCTTCCTTAGAGGCCAGAACAAAAACCTCAGTACTCTTAAAAATTTTCTTTGATTTCTTCACCTTTTTGATAGGCCCAACCCCAAATAATCTTCCTTTCAATCTTGGCAGAAATCTTCAAAAGAGCAGGCAACATATGGATAATGCAAAGAAAAATAGACAACAGATGGACAACCTGGATGATTTGGTAGGTACAACCCATTGAATGGAATCTTGAGTCAAACACACAAAAGATCATCTTCCAATCTAGCTCTTAACCCAGATAAGTAATTCCAAGAAGTGTAAGATCAAATCATTTTGGTTGTGCCAAGCCTCCTAGGAGTGTATCAATAACTTTTCCTCTCTGGGAAAAAAACAGGAATGTAGAAAAAAATAATATAGTTTCCTGAAATCCATGTGATTATGTTCTCTTTTCATCTTAAGAGAAGAGCACCCAGACCCCAATCCCCATCTAAGAACTGATTGTTACAGGACCCTTTAACCATTGAGCAGCTTAGTGCTGTTTTTTGTCCTGGTCATTTATACCAATCATAGTAATGAGGTCTTATTTCTTATTCTCCACCTATTAATATAATCTCAGTAGTATTTTCAATAAATAAAAAACCTGAAGCAAATTTTGTGTACCTTCAAAGCATGTGAAAAACCTGACTGGTAAACTGAATTGCGGGCAATCTCACATAGATCACATGCACTTAACTTCCATACCTGTAAGCATATGGGTTAGTTCCTTCAGAGCTAAATTCGTACATATATGCATATTTGTATATATGCATGTAAAATATTACATCATATATGTATGCAGTGCCACATAATATGTATAAGAGAAGAGGAAAGAGAGCACTCACAGAAGCTGCTATACTATATTCTTCCACCAAGGGTTCTTTTGTTAAGTGGATTTGCAATGGATCATCCGTAGAAAGTGAGACATTAAGACCACGTAAGAAAAACATTGGAAAAGGATTGCGATGATAATCCAGAAATAAGGAGTTGTTGCTCAGAGGTGACATAGCCAGTCCAATCTGTAAATCAAAATGCCATCACAGACAGTTGAGGAACATTCAGATAAACCTAATTCAAACATCAACTGAAAATGAAGCTTTTATTTTTACCTGTGCAAGGTAATACAAGTATTGAAGAACAGGAGATTTTCTCAAATTTATCCCATGTGCAATGTTATGAGCTGTAAGAAAAGTTGCAGCTAGGTGATCAATGTCGCCAGCCTGGAAATAGCAGATCGTATGAGAAACCATCTAAAAACGTTGGATAATACATCAATATGATTGGTTGACAGGAGCATCCATTGATACCTCTCCAGAATGTGGACGGAATTTGATTGTTGTCATACCCTTTGATTCACGAAGCTGACAGATAAAATTGAACACATTAGCTATTCCTTTGAGCCATTTCTCAGAAAGTAGGAAGAAACTCCTTGTGCCTGTGAAGCAAAATGAAGCATGCATGTGCAACATGTACTGTGGGGGGTGAGTTGGAACTAGACAATTTCCTACAAGATTTGGTTGAACTTCCTATCTCATTATTATTTGTCAACAGCCTGAAAGCAATGTTACATGGACACAGAAACAGGAATGAGAACCCAACATGTGTCCGGGAGTCTGACTTGGCAAGACAAAGAAAAAATGACTAGAAACACATCTATAAAAGAGTATAAACCAAGGTTTTAAAAACCAACCAGGAAACCAAACCGCTTTGATCACCGGTTTCTGGGTTGAATGGTTCAACCCTTAGATTGGAATATTAGGGTAGATGTATACGGTTATATTCACATCCCTCTTCTTTTATGAGAAAAGAGAGATAGGTGGCTGTTGGCTGAAGAAAACAAGAAAAAAAAAGGAAAGAAAGGAAGAAAGGAAAGAAAAGAAAATGGAAAGGAAGGAAGAAAGGAAGGAAGGAAGGAAGGAAGGAGGGAAAGAAAGAAAGAAGGAAGAGGAGGAGGAGGAAGGAGGGAAATCTTGTCATCTTGCCTCTCTCTCTCTCTCTCTCTCACACACACACACACACAGATCTGAGATTCTCTCAGTCCATCCCCCATCTCTCAATCTCCATTTCTTTTTCTATTAATAATCTTTAAAAAAATTAAATAAATTTTTATTAAAACTGCAAACCGCTGCCCGGGTCGAACGGTTTAGCGGTTTGACCATCCGGGTCAGCAGTTTTTTGACCATTTCAATGTTTTTTAAAGCGATCCGGTCTAAAACCGGACCTGGAAAGATAACTGGTTCCCGGGTCAAATGGTTCGAGCATCCGGTCTGGTCCAGTTTTCAAAACAGTGGTATAAACCATTAAATTAGTCCATAAGTTTTAATATTATGCAAAACTATAGAAAAGTACAAATAAGTTTTTTAATGACATTTTATAGGAACACTTATAAAAAAATGACATTTTATGGGAAAAAATAGCATTCATTATTAGCCAGTCATTTATGTTGAATAAGCGGAACAAAAAAATGTCCCATAGAAGTGTTCTTCAAGAATAATGTGTTGGAGTCCAATGCGTGTCCAACACAAACACTTCATTTCATCCATTTAGGACAGTCCATAAAACACTGCCTGAAAGCTGCTGTTCTTGCTGTTACAAATGCTATTACCAGGAAACCATCCAAGCAGATGTGTTTGCTTTGTAAGCATGCATCAAGTAAAACAGGAAGAAAATGTTGTTCAGGAAATCTAATTCAGACCTTATTTAGCGTATAAAGGTTGGCATAACAGTAGTATACATAGTATGAGTATGCAGGGTTAAATATATTGGTCCACTGAGCAGGTGTTGGCATGTGTTTTGTTGGGCGTCTTTCAGGCTTACTTTCATCATCCACTAAATCGAGCCCCACAACCTGAAATAAAAATGATGGTAAAATTCAATTCTAGTTATGCTTCAGTATATCAATGTGATTACACCAAAAAATAAGGTAGGAAGCAAATCTCAATTCTATAAACAATCATCTTTGACTCTAAAGTTGCAAATTACAGAGTAGAACAAAAATATTGGTTTGAAGTAGAAGGAAGGGAAAAAAAATCTTTAATGAAACATCATAAATTGCAATTTGACCTACGTAGTGTGCGTGTGTTGTGTACAAGGGTGGAACCAGGATTTCTTGATGGGGGGGGGGCAAAAGTTAATAAATATGAATTAGGAGGGTAAATGTCAATAAACATAGATGGAGGGCCAAAATATAAGGTGGATATAAATGGGGGTGGGGGGATTTTTAAGGCATTAGGGACCATGGCTCTCCTCTGCCACACCCTGGCTCTACCTGTGTATGTATAATTCTCAATTCCCATAAAAATATGCCATCCTTGAAGGGGTATCAATGAACTACAGTTCCTAGAATACTACATTGGTAAACATAATAGAAACAACTGGCATGTAATCTGCACGTGTGATATACAAAGTGTACCCCAATCATTATTGTATCTGACCTAATTCATGCAGAATCAGATACATGCATGTGTGCACTCAGTATTAACTTCTTTTCTTAATCTGACTCGGTTCTTATTCTTCAAAAGATTGGAGATAAAAATAAAGCTTCATGAATCAAACTTCTCCCATGTAAAACCATACTAAAGCCAGCAAGCATGTAAGCAACCCATCATGCCATGCACAAAATTTCACCAACCAAAGCGACCATTAACTAGTGGATACCACTTTGCATTGAATAGGTTGAACTAAAGTTACAATCTTTTCTGGATGTGACACAGTATCAACATTCTTACTCACATTGACTGGTTTAGCATAACTCAAGTCCATACTAAAATGAAAAGTAATATCACAAAGTACAACAGGAACAAGCCAAACCTGTTTCAAGAAAATGTGCAACTGAGGGTGTGAATCTGGATTAACTGTAACCTCAAAAAGGGGAAGAAAAATATTGTCAAGTATGTTCTGGAATGATGTGACAATTCCCATCTCTTTGTACACATTGTACAGCCGTGGCAGCTGAGAAAACAAGGAAATTCTAAATAAGCACAGACATTGAATAAACATAATAAAAACCAATAATGTTCAGAAAATCCTTCTTCATTTTCTAATTTCTAATAAAACATTCTATTATCCACGAGGAAAAATCTATTAATAATATACAAGTTGCATTATATGCCATTCATGCAGGACACCCCAAAACTTAGGAAGCTTTCAACTGAAGAAACGATACAATGAATCAAAGTGTAGGTTGTCTTACAAATGAAAACATTAGCATACCTAAAACAATGTTATTAAGATTTAAAATACGATTCACGATTTGAATCATGAATCCCAAGGGTTTCAATTTGAATCTTATGTCCAAATCCTTTTCTGCAAACACCTTATCATCTTTATTTGAATCCTATGATTTAAATCATAAATCTTACTATTTATATGATTCTTGCAATTCAAATCAATTCAATGAAGAATTATTTCTCTACCTTTCCATCATATGTAGGATAAAGAGTCATTGTATGTGGATTATTTGACTTCTATTGTTAAATCAAACTTAGACTTAAATACATAATCTATTGTTAAACTTAAATGCATAATCTTAGACTTCTATTGTTAAGTGGTATAGAGGCACATGCATGGTAGATATGGATTAAAAATAACTTTTGACAAGTATTTTAAAAATATAAATAATCTTACAATTTACGATACAATTCACGATTCAATTTGATTTTCTCTACGAATTACGATGTGCTTACGGCTTTCAGAACATTGATATTGTAAAGAGACTGGGCCGAATGGGCCCTAACATCCTCTCTTGTAATATCTTTTATTTTATTGTTGATGGGCCACACTTAATGGGCCTGTTATTTATTCTTGTTTTATTCTCTTTATGTAACTGCCAAGCTGGCTGCCCACTTAAGGGCATTCTTGTCATCATCTAATTTTTAGATCTTAATAAAATAGGGTTAGAGGAGAATGGA